GCAGGCCCCTCGTCAGATACTCAGTGGCCAATCACAAAGCACGCTCTCTTGTGACAAGCAGGCCCCTCGTCAGATACTCAGTGGCCAATCACACAGCACGCTCTCTTACTTATTCAGTGGTTCAGCCTGCTTCCTCCAACAGTCTCCGACTTTCTCACTTTGACATTTTCCGTTCTTCCTCCATTAACCCACTTTCTCTCTCTACTCTCGCACACACTCCCGCCTGCTCTCTTTCTTGCTCTCGGGCTCAAGCCAAATTTGGCACAAACTCGAATGTACCTGGTCACTCATTCAAGTTAGATGCGCGCCCCTGGAAATGCCCCGTTCTCTCCGTCACACGCCCTTCCCAATGTACTCGCCACCTCTCCCCGTTCCTGGATCATAGATCACGGGCCATGAGTATGCCATGCACAGTCCTCTTTCACCGTGTTTCAATTAGCTCCCACACACTGTGCACGCCTGGTAAACAGGCTTGTCGCGTAGAGACTCCAGATGCTGGGCACTTATCCCTCATTTCACCGAAGAGGGCTGTCTCGCTTTCCCTCTCCCGGCGATCCGAGCCCTCCGTATGCTAAGCCAGCTCTATTGAGGGCGACGTACGCCTAGCACGCCGGCTAACCTCCACAGCCATCTCCCTTCTGAGCACGAGCACAGACTGCATTTCAGCGGCAAATGCCCGGCGTGCAACCCCGTGGCCCTTCTCCTCTCGCTGCTTTTACCGGCTCTCACGCACTCAGCATGCCCTTTCCTGCCAGCACCGAATCGGAATGTGAGCTGGGAACGCCTGGCAAACTGTTTCCTCCCCTCACGCACGCGGAGTAACCGCCTGAGCGCGGATGCTTCTCCCTCGTGCTTGCTGTCGCGGGAACACCTTGTTCGCCCTGAGCTCTCTCCTCACTCCCGTGTAACCCTCTGAGCGCAGGTGTCCCCCACCCGGAGCTTGCTTGCACTCCGCAATAGCTAGACGCCAGGCACACCTGGCATGCGATCCCACTCTCTTCGTTGCTCTCCCCTATATCCCTTTCAGTCCCGTGGCCTAACCGACCAGAGCCTTTTCAGAGAGCAAGTGCGCAGGAAGTAGTCCGACGCGCCATGGAAAAAAAATCAGTGGCACCGGTCCCACAAACTCGGCGTCCACAGTACCATGCACCAGCTTCGGTTCACTGGTGCGGACAGCTCCGATAAGTTTCGCATTGGTACCGAGCCGAGATAGCCCCCTGCATTCCCCCCTTTGCCATGGGCCCTAGCCGGTCAGCGATGCCTGAGCGACTAAGCCCTTAGGCCCGAAGTGGCCACGGCGTCGGAGCAGGGGACCCCATGTGAATCCACCGGTACTGACAATATCTGCATGGTACCTTGCGAAGCCGTGTGGCCCTTCAGACCCTGCAGTACCAGCCTCATAGGACGCAGTAATCTTCAGGTAGCAGAATTAGTCCTTTGAGCCAGGCAAACTGAGCCCAATTCCACAGATTTGAAAAAAAAGCTCAGCGGCCAACTCCCCCTTAGTCAGCATATATCCAAAAGGTTAACACTTTTATCTGTCGCTGACCACACTGTCGATAGAGAGCCCTTACCGGCAGTTGATGGTAGCCATCTCTGTCCAATCACTGGATCAACGTGCGTAAGTGTCCCAGGCTAGTAGTGGTACCGCGAAGCGGTACGCCATGGGAACGCCGAATCAAGGAAGGTAAGAAGGCAGACAGAGTCTTTCAGCAGCATTACCCATCCGTACCGTACTGAACCGAACCCCGAATAACAGCCTGTCCCGGATCGGAAGTCAACAAGTTGTGGCGTCACCATACCAATTTCGAACCTTGAACTAGCCAATTTGAACTTGTCGCGACCTTATACCTCAGTAAACCGTACCAGTCAATGCCAAACCCGGAACGCTCAGTCAGGCTCGCTGTAACTCATACCATACTGAAGCCGAACCTGAAATAATCATCCGGGGTCCCCGTGACTCGTACCGTGTCGATACCGATCCAGTACCGAGCCTGAAAATGATGCCATACAGTGTACCATGACGACGTCGAACCAATATCAAGCCTGAAACACGGCGGCCATCATTGAATCTCGAAAAACGTGAATGTCATCGAACCTCCCGGAACCATGTACCCGGACTAAACCAGATACCAGGGTCATACCATGTTAACACTGTCCCTATGCTGGCGATGCGGCCTTCTCTCGCACATTCAGTCGGTAAGGTTAGTGATCAGGCAAATAAGGTAAGTGACGCAGGGAATCTCGACCATCGGCAGTAGTGAAAACTGTTAGAATCTAGAGAAAATCATCATTCCGGGGTCAGAGCTGATGGCGGGTAATCAAGGCGAAATTAGGCCCATCTCCCAATTGTCATCGGTTCCCGTCCCTTTCATTGTTTTTAATCATTCTTCCTTTTTCTTAATTCTATTGTCGGAAATAGTAAAACAGCCGTATATTCCCCAAAAATAATTTCCGAGAACGTTTAAATAAATGGCCGAATTTCTTTTGTTTCTTTGCCCCTTTTCCATTTTTAATATTTTTCTATGTTTTTAAATTCATTGCCGGGATCATAAAATACAAGGGTTTTCCCCCTAGATTTAAATGCCGTGTAAAATATAGAAATTAAGGGACATTATGTTTTTCCCTTCTCCCCTACTGGTCTTAATCCCTTTCCCCCATCTTTAATTATGGTACTAAAATAGTCAAAAATTTGAGGCCTCATTTCGGCCCGGTCGTATGCGGCAAAAACGTTGCGGGGAGGCCTGTTCCCGCGATGCCTCCTCGCGGCAGGCCAATCAGGCTCTAGCCCTCTGAACGGCCGGAAATGACGGTCTCTAGTTACGCCGAGTGCGCCCACCCATCTCGCTATCTCTGAGGGTTACTCGTAAGGTCCAGTGTGCCCAGAATCAGGGGTACCCTGAGTTCCCCTAATTTCTGTCGCCCGGTCAGACCAGAGTACCGTCAAAAGACGGACTTGCCCTTGAGCCTAAGTCCCAAAACCGTAGATTTCAGGCGGCGCACTGCTTGTGGCCGCCTGACAACGTGCCCTGGCCTGCTAACGCAGCACACAACCTATCGGGCAGCAACGCAGCAGCATGACCGCAATGCCTGCGTGGGCCAGAATGCCTGACCCTGTCTGCCTCCTTCCCTATATGGCAGGGGCAGCCTCTGTTTGGTTTCGTGCAGCCTGGCTGGGAAGCTTCTAGTAGCTTCCGGTTGGGCCCTAATGCCTGCGCCCAGGCCCAGCTCTGCAGTTGAGGGCCTGGGCCCTTTACAGTTGGGCACGGCCTGAGTTTCCAGACTTGGGCCGTTTGCTGCATTTGCACAGGACCCGGGTTATGTATGTCGACAACGCTGCTTTTTCGTAGGCCTGTAGCCACGTCGTGATGTATCTGCCCTGCATTGTGTGTGCATGTGCCCAGGCGCAACTACCAAGGCCTGGGCCCAACTATACGACGCAGCTTAGGGAGGCTCACGCTTCCATTCAACCAACTGGCGTGCTGCAACTGCCTGAGTACCCACATATGGAAAATGTCAAATTTGGCCTCTAGTGAATATTCAGGCCTGCCTTCAGTTAGGGCAGGCATGGGGCTTGCTGAGGGCCTCTGCCCAGAACATGTGCATGTCTGATAAGGGCCCTGCGAGGGCTCATTCCTCGCAAGAGTCTATGAAGACAGAATAAGCTGTGGGCAAAATATGGGACAAGCCGTTGGGCCCCGCTTAGCCACAGATAGCAGATGCCTAATCCTATAGCACAACATGAGTGCAAGTGACGTTTCTCAGAAAGACATTTTTCTTGTAGCCGACCCTCCTATGCTCTCATCCTATAGCACAACATGAGTACAAGCTTATGGTCAGGAACAAAGGTTATAAACCACTCCTACCAGCATCTCAAGCTGCCTCCAGGGATTGTTTTGCAAAAAAAAAAAAAAAAAAAGGGTTATGAACCGCCATGATGAGATGTAAAAACATGCTTGCTGGTAGTAAGCAACCGGACTGTTGCCCCCCAGAATAGAAGGGGCGTGGTTGGAAAAAAAAGAAAGAAAAAGAACCGCCATGATGAGATGGTTATCATCCGCATTCTCTTCCCGCCTTGCTTGCCTGTTTATGTTGTTTATTTAGCTCACGAACGAGCCAGCGTGATACTCTTGCCTCATATATGCCCCATGGTTGTTTTTGTTTTTGCAGAAGGGTGCACTCTCTGAGATAATTGTATCCATCTGAGTCATAATCGGGACTCGAACTCATCATCTGTTCATTTGCAATTACATGTGCCTACCATTCAGCCACACGGGCTGTTAGTCCATGGTTATCTTTCTTTCTTTCTCTTTCTTTTTCGTTGTGTTTTGTGCGTCTGCTTTATGCCCCATGTTGCTCTTATGTCTCACTATGTTGAAACCGGAGTGCAGTGGGACATAGAAATCATAACAGTGCGTTGAACGAACGACCAGCCCCGGCATTCCAAACTCAGTTTTCATTTCCTCTCGATGGCCTCCCACGACAGTCTCCCACATCACAGATCACTTGTGTGTGTATATGACAAGACAATTTCTACCCTTATGCGTAACCTTGTCACATCGAGTGGTAAGTCTGCAACACAACAATGCAGCCAATGAGTTAATTGCAGCTCATAAATCAAGCCAAGATGTTACAAAGCACATTAAAGAAACGGAGATCATGAAAACGGAGTGCCTCACCCGCTCAAGTGTGGCTGGTGTTCGTTTTCTATAAAGTTGTTCTGTCCTTGCAATGATCCGCCAGAAGCAAAGAGAAACAAGTGAAGCAAGGAGGCTTACCTGTCCTGCAAGTGCTAGCGAGTCTGCTAGCAGTGATGCTGCCAGCCACACCTGCACGCAGACTTGATGAGTCGCCATTGCGACAGTGCCCAGCCGAGCAGCCATTGATGTAGCAATTGTCATGCTGGAAAGAAGGGCGACAGACCGCCCGAGAAGAAGACTCCCTGCACAGCGACACATCCATTCGAACGTTAAACACACCACTAGAATTGATCGGCCTTCTATTTTCTAGCCTTGTGACAAGGGGAAGCGGCAAAAGAGCCTCCGGAGAGTGTGGAGGGGAGGAGGCTTGTCCGGGTGCTAAAACTTGAACGGCCGATTCACAGGACAGACATCTTTGGGGCTCTATGCTATCCACTCCTCAGCTGGCCCAGAACCGGATCGGTACCTGGGCAGGCGACGTTTCGCATAGTTCAGCATGCCAGACCCAGTCGTAGTCAGAGCTTAAAATCCGCTGCCCTTTAACCACAGTTCACCCGAGTTCGGATTTCCCGAACCTTACTGGAGGTTGTTGCCTTCAAAAGAAATGGTGGCGTCAGCCTGCAACCGCCATGCTAGGAATCCGAAAGTTACTTCTTTGGGACATCCATTAAAATTGGAACGATACAGAGGCGATAAGCATGGGCCCTGCGCAATGATGACATGCATAAATTGCAAAATGGTTCCAAAAAAAAAAAAACTGACAGCGAGCAGCTGCTGCCATCATTTTCTTCCAAGGAGGCCACCAAGCCGCTACTTGTCCAGCTTGTGTGCACCGGTGGCAGTTGTGATTCGCCGCTGAGGCATCAGTGGTTTAAGCCCAAGGGCCAAGTCCAACACATACAGCCGTTGGCCCCCTACCCCTGGCCAGACCGCCCAGAAAGGACGCCCCCAGTATTACGGCCATCCAGGGGGGGTGGCTTGAATTCAGGAGTCCGAATTCAGCTACACCTTAGGGAGAGATCCCACTGGCAAAAACAATTGGAATAAGTGTCTGAATCTGGACGTGTTTGAGGAGAGGTGCAAAAACTGTAATTGATCTTCTTTTCTGCATCTCTTCCTGGAACACGTCCTGATTCAGACACTTATTCCAATCCTCTTTGCCAGTGGGATCTGGCCCTTATCCACCAGGCATGACTTGACAAAACTACAACTGTGCACCTAGGGAAGAGTACCTGCCACATAGAGTGTCTGAGTTGTTTCTGCTTGGGTTTCTTCTCTGTCGTCAACCAACTGCCTATATCAGACGATAGCGCACATCAAATTGGGCAAGGCACTTCATTTCTGACAATCTTTTATAAGATAATAATGACGGACTACCGATCAGACAACAGATGCCATTCTTTCCCCGAAGGCAATGCCCGGTCATTTTCATTGGTGTCCGGCCAAACGGTGCACTAAATATAGCTATAATAACCACAAGACTTCAAGAGTTGTGTTCGGGAGAATGGAGTACCTTCTCTGAGGGCAAATCACCCGCAGAGCGACAAGAGTCCTGAGTTGCGACACGAGGAAGAATATCACCAACCGAGACAAGACACATAGTTGCCAAGAGATAAGTTCAGATAAGCAATTATAGGTCAGGCCTTCTGTCAAAACGATTCAACAGACATCGAGGGCATCACCACACCACTCTCGAAATGTGCAAAATGAAAATGAACTTCCCGCTAGAACATGATCAGATGCACCCGCCACATTTTTGTCTTTTTCACATTTCGAGAGTGGTGTGGCGAGGCCCCAAGAGTTGAACGGTCCTTCCACTGAGTGAAGCATCAAGACACGGACATACCGACCCAGACCGAGATAAGAGCAATGGATTGTAGCAAGGGAAAAAAAAAAAAAAAAAAAAAAAAACAGGACAAAATGTCCTTAAAAAGTTAAAGAGTCATTTCTGACTTGTACAAAAGTCGTAAAAAGCGCCGCTGCAAATGGCCTCTCAACCTCTCAAGAAAATGGAAAGAGTGCCATCAGGTGCCCTGAGAGCGAAGCGTAAGAGCGTCCTCATCATATCGATCATACCATGCGCATAAAGCTGTCAATGCGTGGCCTACTCCATCCATATTATTCATACTTGCAACCGCACTGTGCACCGGACCGTGCGGTCGCCACACAGCGTGCGGTGCGGCACCTGCTCGTGCGCTGTACCAGCGGCAGTTCCCCTTTTTTTTTCTGTAGATACAGAAGAGTGTAACACCTAAGGAACTGATCTTTTTCAAGAGTTTTCTTTCCATCCAATTGGGCATATGAGAAATACCCTCGAAAAGGTGTCCGGGACCTTTATAGGTAGCGGCATAACCCTCCCACTAGACTCACTAGTTTTGTTTTGTTTTTTTCCCATCCCACAACAAATCTTTAAAGGGGACGCAGGTGACCATTGACCCAGCCGTGCGACCCCTTTTTTTTTTTTTGAGTGAAAATATTTTCCCCGTGCACCGCACCGTGCGGGTCCACTCGTGCGCCAAACATGCGGAATTTTCAGCATGGCGTCCGCTTGCATGTATGCAATGTATGCTATTATTCAATCTTTCAGTTTTCAACTTTTCACACATACACAAGACCCCATTGACTCTTCTTTTCTTTTCTTTTCTTTTCTTTTCTTTTCTTTTTATGTGTGTTTGTGTGCGTGTGTGTTCTGAATGTTCACCACAACACCCGCTTATCCACCCAGATGAGTAGATCCAAAATCGAAGCAGCTTTAGTCCCATTGCAGACAACGAAGCACAATTGAGTTGAGACAATCGAAGAATGAAACAGTTTTGACCTCTATAGCAAGCAACACGGAGCCCAATAGATCCGTTCAAAATTTAAATGCCTTTTCTAACTGTAGTTATTTTGGTCTTCTTGGGGGTACCCCTTTCATTTGTTCTTGCAGCTCCCCTTTATCTATGCCTTTCACGTACAAGGCTGGCCACGTTGATTGTGGTTGAGCGTCAGCTGCACACATCCCCGTGTGCCTTAATGGCACACTTTCACGTTATAAGGGGGGGTGGGGTAAAGGGGGAGGGATACTCCTGTTCATTTTTGTTCAGATCTTCAACTTGTATTTCGTCTGTTCTCTTAGTGTGTGCGTGTGTGTGTGTGTCCTGTAAACCATTCACCACAACTTCCCCTTCCGTTCGATATGTGCTATGTAGAAATTATTTTCATTTGGACCATTTCTCGGTTCATGTGTGTCATCCATGCACAAGGGCCATGCTAATCTTCTCTGTATCGTTCCAATTTTAAGGAATGCCGCACAGGACATATGTCAAGTTGAAAACATTATTACTATGGTCGTTTGCCGCAAATTTCCCTACCAATTTTATCGTCGTATGTCAGCGAGACTGCAGGGTTCCCCAGCTGTGTGTGGTGGTGAGCAGGCAATGCCGGCACAACAGCCTCTATTCTGCACACCTGTACCTGTGTACTTTTATCTGTTCTCTTTCAATGGTCAGGCCCAAGATGGCAACTTAGAGGAAGATGGAGGGGAAAGGGAGGAACACAGGAGGTCTGAGGGGAAGAGCAAAGAAGAAAAGGGGGAAAGAACTGGTCCATCCATCGATGCACACTGCCACAGCAAAGTGGCATTGAGGTAAGGTAATTGATGGGCTGAGCGGCGGGAAATGCACGGGAAATGCATGGGAAAGGCAGCATTTCATCTGCACATGGCCTTTTTTCTTCTTCCTCTTTTGTTTTAAACAACAATCCCCTTCTATTCTGATAGGCATCAGTCTGGCTGCTTATCACCGGCAAGCATGTTATACACAAGTTCTTTTTTTTAAAACAACAATCCCCTTCTATTCTGGGGGGCATCAGTCTGGCTGCTTATCACCGCCAAGCATGTTATACACAAGTGTAACAGAGAGAGAAGAGATAAGAGGAGGGGGTCAGCTCAGCCCTTGCGGCACTAGACGCCTACACAAAGGGGGGCTGCTACAGAGCGCCCATCTCCCAACCTTGATCCGTCCTCAGCGGCTATTCTACTGGGCGGGAGGCTTACTAGCAGCACCCAGACACACAGTAGAGCAGCCACCGTCTTCACGCGAATAGAACGCCCGGTCATTTTGAGTGTATCTGAACCAACTTTTCTGCCAGTTGCAGCGATAATGACCAGGCGTTCTATTCGGGTGAAGACGGTAGAGGGGCTTGGCACAGGGGGGGGGGGGGGGGGGGGGGGTGGTTCTGAGCAGTCCTTCAGGCCGCATGCCAGTCCTTCATCGTTTCTTACTATGCCTAAGTCATCTCCACCCCATAACTACCTCCATATCCATTTCGTTTCCTACTCCAACAGTCTGCTATTCCAAGATCGTCATTCCCCTTCTCCCAGTCTGTCCTACTATACCATCTCACACTGTGAAGTACATTCCTACCAACCGCCACCCCTACCCCAATTAGGCCAGGTCTGTACCATTTGGATGTTCCTCATTGTATCTATTGAATGTATATCCCCAGCATTTCCTTTACCATCCTCTATTCCATCTATCAAGCACATGGGCTTTTTTAAAGTGTGTGCTTTTTCTTCTTCATCTTTTTGACGGCTATCCCACGCAGCACACTATCATCATTGCCAAGGCAGCATGTGGCCTATGGTAAATGACTACGAGGATAGACAAGACAGTCATGGTTTGAGTGTGGCCGGTAGGAAGCAGCACAACCACCATAGCCAGCCAAGTGGAATGCATACCAGCACCAAGAAATCTGCCAAATTTCAGAGATGACAAGCTTTGGGGAACAAGAGAACAACGTAATCCTAATGAATATAAAAGGTAACCCGCCATTAAGTACCTGCAATGGAAAGCAAAACAGAAAATCAATTAGTTAGACCTGTACCATTGTATGTTTGGCCTCGGGCACTGGGCCCTAACAAGAAGGATTTCAAAAAAAAAATAAAAAAAATAATAAAAAAAATTCATTCAAATCAATTCGTTAGTCAGGTAACCAAGTTGATTACAATGTACTTTAGCCACAAGTTGTACCAAAACAAATGATTTCTCTTGATGGGGATCTTTTTCTTTTTTTTGGGGGGGCCGGGGAGAGGGGGGGGCCGGGGGGGGTGGGGGAGGAGGGGGGAAGTACAAATCTATCAATCTGTATCCAACCGTTTGCTTCAGGTCTGTTTTCAAAATGTGAGATTGTGGCCTGACTTATGGCACCTTCCAGATCTATTTTTGGTGTCCCTTACCTCCCAATCTGCTCTAGCATTTGGAAAGCTTTACGGTCTAGAGATTTGGATGGTGGTCCGGTCTGGTACCCGCCTGGGGGATTCATCAACTGCATGGCAATTACAGTTCGATGTTGAGGATTGGCACAGTCCGCGGCTTGGACATTAGTCATTGATTGGAGAGCATAATAACCGTTTGACACACACAGAGACCCTTAAGTTACGGGCTCCTACAAAGAAAATCAAGAACTTATCTCGGTTCCAGGCGTACACTATACCCCAGAGCAGCTCTTTGTTTGGTGCATCAGGCCTTACCAGAGAACATGAGGAATCTGTTTAGCAGCCACAGCTTCTCCTACCTTTCATACGGACTGGGTTCCAGACAGTCCGGTGTCCGGTGTCCGGTGTCCGGTCTCTGGTCGTCATGTCCAGATGGAGGCTCCTGTGGCAAAAAAAAAAAAAAAAAAAACGGGGCGGCCCAGGTCGTTTATCGGGTCCTGCCAGTCTGAAGACTCTGACGTTCTGAATTGAACTGCAAAGTTCGGACTTTTAAGTTATATATGAACTATTATGAAGTTATTAAATTACTAAATCCAAAGTTCAAAGTTCAAAGTTAATCATACATTTTTCAAAAAAAAATTCTTTGTTTCTTTAGTCTTGTGCCTGCTTTGCACTGTTTGCAACGCTGCATGCCTGCTAGTTAAATGTGCTGGTTGATTTGCTGCAAGACATGTGCTCTGCTGCCTGAACTACAGAGTGCAAAGCAGGTAAGTGCCTGCCAACACCCCCACCCAACACCCCCCAGCACCCCCTTCTTCTTTTTTTGGTCCGGTGATGTCCGGATCCGGGGTTACCATGCAGAAAAGTCTTTGGTTTAGAAATTAGTAGCCACTTTGAGGACAAGTAGTGATGGGAAAACACTTCAAAGTTCAAAGGGAATTGTAGCAGGGGGGGAAGAAACTGTTTTTTTTTTAATACCTGTAGTAATTAGAAGAAGAAACAGCTCTACTTGCTGGATGCCCATAATGTGACAGCGAACAAGAGGACTGGTCTTACGACGAGGGTGTCAAGCTGGTAGGGGAGGAGGATGGTGCTTGGGAGGTAGGAGTAATTGGCGCATTCGGCAACAAGGGAAAGGTTAGGGTCTACCATCTTCAACAAGTCCGACGAAGAAACCGTGGAAGATCTACCACCTGTAAAAAAAACTGTTGCGGAACAGAATGTAGAGGGGAGGTGTCGGGAAATGGGCCACATTTTATTCTATCTACACAGATTCTACAGGGAAAGGAATCAAGCCAGTACAGTGAGTACACTGTGCAGCGATTGAGGAAGTAGCGCCATCCAGTACAGATGTATCATGTCCCTTCAGTCACAGTCTGACAACATATGGCGGTTGACCCTAAAGCTACCCTCCAGTCACAGTCTGACGATAAGATCATCTGCACTCGAGTTGTGGTCATAAGGGATTGGCATAGATATTGGACTGAGGTAAGATTTTTTTGGGGGCTGGTAAGATGCTATAGGCAGTGTTTTTTCAACAATATTATAGGCAGTGTGCTTTCAACTATAGTAGCATGACTAGCCCCTTTACTGATTTGACAAGGCTTGACAAGTTTTTTTTTTTTTTTTTTTGAGCAAAGCCTTTGAGCGATTGAAGACCGCACGCATTAACTACTGTCACAGTCTTTGACAGAGCTGATCCTGCCGAGCCTTTTTCTTTTTTAAACCGACGCCTCCTCTCTGTCCGCTCTACTTAAACCCTAAACCCTACGGAACGGGCAAGTCGCTCCAGCCTAAATCCTAGCTTATCCTAGCTTACTGTCTCAGAGGTTGACTACTGATGAAAGCCAGTGAGGGATAGTCATTGTGTTTGCAGCAACAAGAGGGGAAAAAGCCAAGACGTGTTGAGTATATGTTTCAGAACATGCCTGTGAGCAAGCCCTTGGCCAATTGAAGAGAAAGCTTATTAACTATTCTTGTGTCCTAAAAATTTTTGATCCTGCCAAGCCTTTCAATTTAACCATTGACAAAAGCCAGAATGGGATAGGCGCAGTGTTGCAACAACGAGAGGGGAAGGAACTAAGAACTGTTGAGTACACACGTCTAAGAAAGACGCCTTCCAAGAAAAACTAGCTGCATCTACTGATGAAGGAATTCTGTGCGCTCTGTTTACGGCTCTGAAACAATGGGAAACACTATCTCCATCATAGACACTTTGAAATGAAAATGAAGTCCGACCATGAGACACTCCATTTACCTATGGCTTCTTGGGTGGGTGACCGGCGCGTGCAGCTATTGGGCATTTCTGGGTCATGGGCGGGTCAACATTTGCTCTGGGTCACCTGTAGGGTGGGTGGGCAGCTGGGTGAAGCTTTGGTCTGGGTCACCCGGCCCACAGACCCAGGACCACCCGAAAAAATGACCCCCTCCTCCTTCCCCCCCCCCCCCCCCCCCCCCCCCCCCCCCCCCCCCCCCCCCCCCCCCCCTCCCCTTTGGTGCCTTCCACCTTCCCCTCCTCAAAAAAAAAAGAGAGCCATTGGGTCCACCTGTACAACGCACAGGCTCGAGGTTGAGAGTGAGAGAAAAGAAAAAGTGGGCCTGGGTACAGTCGCTCAGGCACTAAAAGAAGAACGTCGGGGCAAAAAAAGAAGGGGTGCGGTCCAGCAGTCCAGCCCCTCGCCCAGCCAATAGAAGAACAACGTCAGGGCCAAAACAAAAAAAAAAGTTATCTTTTGTCTTTTCGCTCATGAAAAAGTGGGCCTGTTCTATCTCCATCATTATATTTTTGCCTTCTCGCTCCTCTCTGGCCACCATACGATGCTCAACTTTTGCCATTCTATCCTTGCAATCTTTCCTTCTCCCAGGGCCCCTTGCATAAACTTTCTAAACATCTCCTCTGCCTTTTCTTGCTTATCTTTAGTCTTCCTCTGTACCCTACTCCATTCTGATGTATACAGTCTGTCTTGAGCAAACATCTTCATCCCTCCACTCTTCCAATGTTTACTCGCTTTTGATCTATGGATCAGCCAGGCATGCTGATTAGCATGATCACCACCTTCACAATGGAGCATGTAGTTACCATCGTGACAGGCAGGGTGAGTTGGCGCAACATAATCCGGAGCCAGTGAATGGACCGCATTTCATCTCAAAATCCCAATCATCATTTTCTTCAATCCAAGGAAAAGAACATGGGGCATGCTCTTCACTTGGACACTGAATTTTGAATGATAACACCGGCAGGCCCGGGAGCGTAGGCTGGTTGGGAGTACTTCGAGTTGTCTCAAAAAAAAAGGCTGTTATGATCCTGGCCAATTTCGAAGTACACATTCATGAGAAAGTACAATGACGTCCAATTGCAAAAAGAAATGAATGAACTTGAGAGGAGACAGAGGGAAAGAAGAAGAAGAAGAAGAAAGAAAGAAGAAGAAGAAGATGATGTACACAGCATAGACCAATGAGAATGCTCTTCTTCTTCGCCAACCACTGTCCGAATCACACTTCTACTGCAGGTATCACATGAGGTCCGCCATAGCCATGGCCACCCTTCTTCCTCATTCCTTCAAGGCCGAGGCTATGGCCGACTACCAGGGCATCGCCCTGCTGTGGAAAGGACAACACAAAGCAGCTATGGCAGCTCTTGCTCGGGCCGCCATGCCTGACTCTGCCTCGAAGCTTCTTGGTGTAGCTCTACCCCAACTGGGGCCTTCCAGATGCTGCACCCACCAAGGTGATGAAGATGGCATCCACCATAGCCAGGTAAGTACCTCTGGCGCATTCCCTCTTCCTCGTCCTTGTCCTCCTCTCTCGGTCCTTGCTCTTTCCCCAGCAGCGCTGAGCTGAGTGCTAGCACTGCTCCAGACGTCGCTCCAACCAGTGTGTCGGCAAACTTGCACAATGACAATGAGGAGGAGCACTTTGCTCCTCCTGGAGATATAGCAGCCTGCTTGCCTCTTGGCGAGCGACATCCAAGGCTGTGCGCCCTCCAAGCAACCGGTACCTCCTCCCTTTCGGAGGGAAACATCATCGCGGACTCTGATATTGCCCGTACAGGCCCTAGACTCAGACTGGTTGGACTGGTACCCGCGTAGACCTAGCCTACAACTACTGGGCCTCTAAAACTGCCAACTTTTGTCTTCTTCTGCTCGGCCTCGAGTACCCGGCACATCTACCTCTACTTGGTGTGGTACCGGCCTACCTGCTACTTGAGTGTTTTCTGCTGCTCTAAGTGCCGCAGGCCTCTTTCCCTGTGAGTGTTTTCCCTGCTGCAACCCTCAATGTCACGGCCAAAGGTAAGTACCGGCCCTTTGGGCCTTCTGAAGGAACAAGTGCCCTTGCGGGTCACACACATACTCAAGCCGACAAGCACTCAGACAGGCATGCAGGCCAGCAAGCACGCACACACACAGACTTAGAAAACTCAGCGACAGGCGGGAAACTCAGCAAGCTATACATTCCATGAGCAAAACTCATAAATCAGCTGTGTGTCCCAGTCCGTGTTTGGCAGGTCATTACAAGGCAGAAAGAAAAAACGGAAGGCCACGGATTGTAGCCTCAGTTCTGATTGATCATGTGTCAAGGTATTTACTTTTTCTGTTTTGTTTCTTCTCTCCATTCACACACATAACTTGTATGTGCGTGTTTCAGATTTTCACCACAACAGCCCCTGATCCACCCAGATGAGTAGAACCAAAATCGAAGCAGCTTTGGTCCTATTAGACAACGAAGCACGCTTGAGTTGAGACATTCCAACAATGAACCAGTTTTGCCTCTATAGCAATTAACACGGAGCACAACAAATCTGCTGAAACGTTGTGAAATCCCTTTGTTGGTTTTCTTTCGGGCACCCCTTTCGTTTGTTCTTGCAGCTCCACTTTTACTATGCCTCTCACGTATAAGGCTGGCCACATTGATTGTAATTGAGCTCCACATGCCCACACCCCATTGTGCCTTAAAGGCACACTTGCATGTCATGAGAGGAGGCAGAGTAAAGGGGGAGGTATACTCCTGTTCATTTTTCTTCAGATCTTCAGCTTATATTTTGTCTGTTCTCTAAATGATGCTCATTTGTATACATTTACTGGTGGTACACAAGGGGAGGGAGGATGGGAAGGGATAGGAGGAGCTCTATAGGGAGTGAGGGGCAGGGGAGGGAGAAGGGGTAGGGGAGAAAGCGGAGCGACATGGGACACAACAGAGATATACCGAACTTCACTGGATTCTAAAACTCTAAATACTCACGGCTGGAGGAGTCTACCTAGAATGGCACAAGGGGCCAGTCAATGGTTGGGCTGGAGTTCAGGAGAAGCTGTTGCCTATGGTAGGCAGAAAAGATTTCAAGTTGAGGAGCAGCCGTTGCCTATGGTAAGTGGCCACCCCTACAAACCGGACAGGTCTGCGGGTGGACTGTGGAAGCACCGCATCCAATTCTCGCAGTCACAGTTGCTGCATCGAATGGCACGGTGTAGACAGATGTGACAGACTGCGTGGTTCCTGCATGCTAGGAACACACGGGCATGTCGACCACAATTGTAGAGGCATTGCCGTTCCAGCCCATGTCTACAAAATGGACATGAAGTCTCAGGGTGTTGTACATGAGTGCAGTATTGACCGTCATCATACATATGAAAACAAAAACTCGCATGGGCTATCCCTTCATAATCCTCACGGCATAAGGCATGCAAACCACATGCTAGCTGAATCTCCGGTAGGTCATCACAAAGCGGCATCGAGCAGGTTTCTTGGGTTTCCTTCAGTATTTATTCCCTCTCTATGGCCAAATGACGACAGCGGGGATTGATCCAGAGCAAGGGTGTTTAGCTGCTGCAGGACTTGGTCTGCAACAGCTCGCCCTGGTGGTGATAACCTATCAGTACAGCACTCTGTAGGTGGTTCGTATGGTGTCATATTTTACTCCTCAGGCTGCTGCATCCGTCGTCGTCTGGCAAGGAAGAAGGAAATATGTCTGCAGTTGCAGTACGTGTATGCCCAACACCGCATGTGGGACATGTTAGTAGAGGATGTGGTGGATGATGGCACCGGGGATAGTCCACACAGCAGAGACATATTTTCTATGACAGCTTCCTGGAAACATTGACAACACATGGCATGTTGCTGATATGTCAGCAGTAAAGAAGGCTGACATGCGCAGCTATTTAAGCATGGCAGATCAAGGCCACAATGGCATGCTGGGAAGTAATCAGGGGTAGAGGGGAATGGGCACGGAACAAAGGATCGCAGTTTTTCTGTGGCAGTGGCTGGCAGCGACCATCCCTTCATAGAGTTCAGAGCAGAGGCTATGCCGTGTACATGCCTGACCATCCCCCAGAGAGGTCCCTTCATTGTTCGTGGTACAATCCGTCCGATCCACATAGAGAGGGGACGCTGACCATGCACGGGGAAAGAAGGAGGTTTATACGGATTGCTCTCCGGAGGCTGTAGTGCTTGTGAGAGCTCATCGACTGTTCCTGACGGATGAGCCAGACCGAGTGATGTTCTACCGCTTGGTGATAGAAAGAGTTAATATTTCCTGCTGTATGCACCCTACTGCCATTGTCCCATAGAGTCCATGAATTATCGCAAAGGTAACAGCACTGAAATGACCTGGACGATGTAAGATGCATCCCAGAATATTCGGATCCATGCCTGGCACATGATTTTGTGGAGCAGGCTGGAGTTGTAGACATCTACCCATAAATGCCGTCGACAGGACTTCCATGTTCAAGCCAGGTGCAGTACTGTTGTCCTCTGGGCAGCCGGCACGGTGCTCTTTTCTATCCAGCGGACGTCTCCAAAACCAGAAACAGTATAAGGGTTGCAATTGTAAGCAAGGAGAAATGCATTAATTGCATAGTACGCACAGCCGCCTCGCTGTAGCACTATGACATCATCCGATTCTGCAGGTTGTGCGGCAGGGGGAGGTTTCTCCAACACTGCAGATTGCCAGGCAGGCGGGGATTTGTGCGGTCTTGACCATTTCTTTCAAGTTCCTCTGGTTGTATTAACTCCATCGGATCTAGTATGCACTCCGGAGAAATATCATCTCGAGTCGGGGGCTCGATCAGGTAATCAGAAGGTGGATCATTGGCATTTGAAGCGGGAAGCAACCAGGGTTAGGTGGTTGAGGAATAGGCGGGTCAGATGCAGGAAGCAGAGGTTGATTAGCCGCAATGTACTCAAGTCTCAAAGTGCCTGCTAGTCGTGCAAATGCTGCGCAGGTAGCTGCACCTCGTGTCTGGTGCACTCGCAGGCCTGCAGCACTGAAAAAATCATTGCCACATTGCGGGCATCAGACTCGATATGTACTAATCCTGACTGATGTATACTGAGAGCGATGAAGTCGTTCCGTACAGTTGCGAGCATGTTGTCGGAGCAGATCTCTAACCCCTGCAGGGGGCGTGGTATTCATGCTGTTCCAGGACAGATGAGTCCGCTGTCTTGGAGGCAGCGGTGGAGACGGGGAGCGTCTCCTCCAAAGAGGCATCTGTAACGATCGATCTGACGCTGGATGTCTCTACCGACAAGGACTTTGTGACGGCTGATCTGACCATGGATGTGTTGATGATAAGGTCAATGAAGAAGGGGAGGCATGCGAGGTGGGCGATGAGGAGGAGGAGGAGGAGAAGGCAGAGGAAGAGGAAAGTGAAGAAGAGGAGGCAGATGACTGAGGGGATGATGTAGTGGCGAGGGAGGTGGTGGTTATGGTGGTGGTTGTGGTTGTGGTTGTTGTGGTTGTTGTTGTTGTCGTTGTTGTGGTGGTGGTTA